CCAGACATCTTGTTCCTCAGTGAAACCCATCTCTCTCAATCCAAAACTGCAAACCTAGGGAAAAAACTCCACTACAAAAACTATAATGGTCAAGCAGCCCTAAGCAAATCAGGAGGATTATTTTGTGGATGGAGGGATAACCTCATGATAACAATCCAGAACACCCACCAAAACTTTATCCACCTAACAGTGAGCAATTACCCTGTCCATCAACAATGGGATATCATTTTTTTCTATGGTCACCCACAAAAATACAAACGGAAGGAGCTATGGGACACTCTAAATAAGAAAATGAGTACCATAGACAGGCCTTGGATACTCATGGGAGATATAAACGGTATTTATTTATCCCATGATAAAAAAAAACTATCAAGGAAGGCCTCCTCAAACATCAAAATCCATGAAACATTTCAACTAGTGAACTTTGACTTTGTGGGCCCTCCCTTCACTTGGACAAATGGACAACAAGGAACTCACAAAATTCTAAAGAGACTAGACAGGGTTCTGGCCACACCCTCTTGGCTACAAATTTACCCACAAACAACCCTTTTCACTTACCCAAAAAACCACAGTTCCACTACCAACCTTTCTGGACAAATCATCCAGATTGCAGATTCATTGTTGTAGAAGCTTGGAATGCCTAGCACTGTAACACAATCCAAAAGCAACTACAATCCTGCAAACATGCACTGAGAGCTTGGAACAAGTCCTCCTTTGGCTACATACAGCAACACCTTCAAACCCTAACCCCCGAAATAACTGAGTTGCAAACCAAACTCCTATCGGCCAGGGAAGAAGAACAACTACAAGACCTAAAAAAAACAATACCAATATTGGTTACAGAAGGAAGAACAACTTTGGAAGTTAAAATCTTGAGAACTCTGGCCGCAAGAAGGGGACAGGAATACAAAGTTCTTCCACCACATGACAAATTACAAAAATATTAAGAATGATATAGCCTGGATCAAGAAGCCAGATGGAGAGTGGGCATCAAATAAGCAGCAAATAGCAGAAGTATTTAAACACTCAATGGAGGCAATCAGTGGGGTTCGGGAGGACTTTAACCCAAGCTTACTCTCCCAACATTCCTCTACCCTGTATATCACAGGAGTAGGCACAATCCCTCTTACACCCTCCTACAATGGAAGAGATTGCAACTATAGTTCAACAGATGTACCCACATAAATCACTAGGGCCAGATGGGTTCACAGCTCATTATCAACATCACTGGGATAATGTGGGTAAGGACATCCACCAAATGGTCATAAATTTCTTCAACTCTGAAAAATTACCAGAAGGAATTAATGATACCAACTTAGTGTTTGTCCCAAAAAGCAACTCCCCAGTTGATGCCTCTTACTATAGACCCATCAATCTTTGTAATGTCAGCTGCAAGATCATCTCAAAGTGGTTAGTCAAGAGAATGCAGCCTCTATTACAGGACATYATTTCCCTATACCAATCAGGGTTTCTCAAGAATAGACAAATCACAGACAATATTCTGCTAACAAAAGAGATATTACAGCGGATGAAACTATGAAGTTGGACATGTCGAAAGCTTTTGACAAAATGGGGAGGAATTTCGTCTTGGAGGTACTACGAACCATGAAATTCCTTGAGAAATGGTGCATTTTGATACATCAATGTGTATCCACTCCAACATTTTCAGTTAAATTGGGAGGTGAAACATTTGAATCATTTTAGCTCCTCAGAGGGTTAAGACAAGGAGATCCTCTATCTCCATACCTTTTCATAATAGGTATGGARGTCCTCTCCTAGCTACTACAAAAAGCTACAACCCTCAACCAAATACAGGGAATTTCATTAACCAAGGTTAGCACCCCTATAACACATCTCTTATTTGCAGACAACTGCATCCTGTTCTGCAGAGCTAACCTTAATCAAATAAGAGAGCTCACCAAAGTCCTTCATCAATTTGAAAAACTTTTAGGACAGAAATCCAATCCTGGTAAGTCCTCGGTGATATTCAGCACAAATGTGTTGAGACATCATAGGAAAATAATCAGCTAGGTCCTCAAAGTGAAGCAACCATTACTAGGGAATACATATTTGGGAGTGCAATTGCTGATACAAGATAGAGAAGCTAGTACACAAAAGGAGCTCCAGCAGAAAATAATAGCAAAATTCAAAACTTGGAGTTCAAATCTACTATCTCAAGCAGCAAAACCACACTTGTCAAGTCAGTCTTACAATCCATCCCACAATATCAAATGTCAACAGCATTATTACCCAAAAAATTCCATAAAACACTAGACAAATCAGTATGGGATTTTTGGTGGAACTCTCAACCGAGACATACAGTCTCTTGGAGTAAGTTGTGCCTACCTAAAGCTTGTGGTGGACTTGGCTTCAGACAAAGTGCACTAATGAACAAAGCCTTATTTAGCAAGCATATATGGAGGCTGCTGGCTTTCCCAAACAGCTTGTGGAGTTCACAGATTAAACAGAAATACTTCCCTACATCAAATTTGTTTAATGCAAGAAAACCAAAAAACAATAGTTCTCCTTGGTGGCGGCACACCCAGAAACTTCTGTCCACTCTCAGACCAAACATTCTGTGGATGATTAAGGATGGTTTTGATATACTGGCTTTTGAGGACTCTTGGACCCCCACTTTAAATGGAGGGCTGCCAAAGCCAACTCCAAATACACAGAATAACTCATATATGAGGGTGAGTGACTTACTAAGGCCAGATGGAATATGGAACCAAACAGCACTGCTTCGGTTTGTAGACCAGCATTCAATTCCCCACATATTAAACATCACTCCAAACAATGATATTGATAGAGACACACCCATCTGGAAGCTAACAAAATCAGGGAAATTAACGATAAGTTCAGTATATCATTTCCTCTCCACAGAGGTGTGCTCATCATCATCATCATTCTTTGACTGGAAGCAACTGTGGAAGTTGAAAATCCCATATAGATTTCAATTGTTTGTATGAAAAATGCTATGAGAAGGAATACCCACGAAAGACAAAAACCACCACTGGTTAGCTCCGTCAAACCTAGCATGTGTGTTGTGTTCAAATGAAACAGACTTTCCATCATCTTTTCTTCCACTGCCACTTCACCCGAGCCATATGGTGCTCAGCCCAAGTCGAGCTAAACCCAGAAGCAATAACCAATCAACCTGCCCACACAATCCTTCTACATTGGTACCAGAAACTCAAGACCACACATCCAAAGGAAGAAGCCTTGGAGCTCTTGGGAAGAGGATGCATAACATTTTACCTCATCTGGAGTGCTAGAAATAGAAAACAATTTGAAAACATCACATACACTCCTCAGAAAATTATAAAAAAATGGAGAACTTATCAATCACAAAGAGGGGCAACAAGGCTTGTGCAATTATGTAGATGTTCAAACCTCTGAAAACCCCCCTAACGGAGTGGCTACTTTACAAATTGATGCTTCAAATGGCCCTGTAACAAGAAGTGCAGGACGAGCTTTCATCCTCCAACGATCGTCAAGAGATGAAGCTATCTTTGAAGGTAAACCATGCTGGGCAATCTGCCCTTATGATGCAGAGCTAAAAGCGTTAATTTCAGGTTTAGAGGCAGCGAGAGAACAAAAAGTATCTATGATAGCAGTATATAGTAACTCCATGCAGCTCAAGGCCTCTTTGCAAGATATATACAAGCCGAACCTCTAGATCGAAAAGCTACATCAACCGCGGATGGCCAAGCTTTTAAAAGCTTTCACTAAACTCTTTTTGGTACATGTAAATAGAACTAACAATCAAGCTGCTCACATTTTAGCATACACAGCTTGTAAAGCAGCTTTATCAATAGTCTCTACCACAAACAGTAAGTTGTATGTTTTATTTAAGCCACATCAATGAATGATAGCTGCCTCTCTTTTTTTGGAAAAAAAAGGGCAACGGATGAATTAAGGTTTCCTAATAAAAATTGTCCCAACGCGCTTCCAATGTAATCTGTCCGCACATCTCATCTTAGAAGACTGGGACCCGCCATGGTGTTGGAACGGTTTGTTTTGTTAGGAGGAGATTCGAAGTCTCAGCGGATAGMTCAATGGGTCTCAATTAGGGGTGCTCACGGTTTGGTTAATCGAACCRTGGGGTATTTTTTCAAATCGAATTGATCTGATTGGTTTTTTAAATATCCAAACTAAAATCAAACCGATGCAATTAGTTAATTGGTTCACCGGTTAATCGCGGTTCAATTTTTCAGTTTTTTATGCACTTAAAATATAAAACAAAACCCTAAAATTGTCGATGGTTGCTATCGATGTTGAATTGGTTGGTGCCGGTGGTTGCTGGCAGAGCCRCTGAGAGGAGAGGTGAGAGAAGGATCCCAGATGCTTCAAAACCACCACTTGGTGCTGGTGGTTGGCGTGGGYCGTGCGGCAGTCTGAGAAGAGAATGGAGAGACTAAAGAGACTAAGAAGAGAACGAAGAGACTAGAGGGACTGAGAAGAGAAGGGAGAGACTAGAGAGACAAGAGAAAAGACAAAGAGTGAGAGAAGCTGAGAAGAGAAAAAAGGCTTGAGTGGTTCTAAGTTTCGAAGAGAGTCTAGTAGTGGCAGACTGACACTCTGCCAGACTGCTGAACTTTCAATTGGTTCAAAGAGAGGTTGGAACTGAAAACCTCTCAGACTGTCGAACCTTTTTGAAAAATAAAAAATATAATATAATACATATAATATTATATAAAATATATATTTATATATCGGTTAATTCGATTAATCGCCGGTTTTTTAAGAACYGAATCGAAACTGTCGGTTTTTTAAGAATATCAAACCAAAACCAAACCGATCGATTTAATTAATTGATTTTTCAGTTTGATTTTTCAGTTTTTTTGCTCACCCCTAGTCTCTACGGATATTTTCAACAACCATAGGCACATAATTTATAGGCCGTTCATGTGGAGCCCACCCGAGACGGAATCTCTTTAAAAGGTTACATAGACGCGACGACGTCACCGTTAAATTACTGGAGTGCTATGGCCGTTACTGATCACTGCAGCTTCTTCCGATATTTCGCTTACGTAACAATCCGACAAGGCGAATCTTCCTTTGGGGTTCCCATAACCTTCTTGTTCTTATATTCCCCCGCTTTTGTTGGTCGATTTGGATCATCGTCGCTCCGCTGATACCACAAGTAGGTATATATCAAATGCATCACCGTAAACCCTAGTGCGACGAATTTGATTATTTTGTACTACAATTTGAACTCTGTTTTAGGGTTTATAGTCTCTTCTTTGCTTATTTGCTTTTTTAAGATCGAATGAACCTAGTGATTCGAGAGATTTTGCTTGTCCTGACACTTGATTGTTTAGCAAGTATGGAGCACTGAGTTTTATCTTGTCGTTTGATGGGTAGATTTTAACTTTTCGTAATTGTGCTTAAATGATTGCGAGGTATAACCGTATGAGATATTTTTAAATTGTAATTGATTACCTTATGTTTTCCTGTAGCTTTGGTTGCATGTTGTGCAGAAGTACAATAAAGTGCGAATGAATTTGTCTTTGCTAGTACTTGAAATTATAAAATACAAGTTATAGCTTAAATACTTACCGTCAGTTGCTTCCTCAGGCATAAGAGTTCTAAGCTTATTAGAGCAGAAAGCAAATTAATCCATACAAGGGCAATAGGAAGTTACAAAATCTGCTGAACAATTTTGTTTCTCGCCATTGATGACATTACAATCAAAATGGGGCTGCTTAGTGTTTGGTGTTGATATCAATGTTTCCACAGATAACATGAGCCTTCTAAGAACTTTTCCTCCACATCTGAAGTTTCGAGTCTGAACCACTACATATAAACCCCCAATCAAATTCTTGATTGCAGGGATTGATATGTTTTCTTATGAATTCAAGTTCAGAATGGCACTAGAAGAACAAAGTAGTTCCTCTTATCATCCCAGCCCCAGGCACTGCAGAAAATGTATCTTGATCAATACCTTTCCATGAACCACAGCCCAAGTAAATTACCCAATTGAATTTACAGTTTATCCACCAATTATGTTCAAAATGTATAGAGATAATGACTAGTTATTATTTGGATAGTAAGATGAGCTAATTGAATTTACGATCATGTATGGAAATTAAAATAAGATTGAGAAAGTGCCAATTAAAAATGTTTTAGCAAGTGATGATATTGGCTCTAGTGAAGCATTGATCTTATAAGTTTGACTTCTAGAATTCCTTGCGAATAAACACCAAAGAGATGATCATGGCATGCTAGTCTGCTCTCCCAAGTGCCACATACCTTGGCTGGTATCAACTTGAAAAATGTGGCTCCCTTTCATTCCAGATCACCCACATATTTGTGAAAGTTGTAGTCATTCATAGAACTTTTCTTGCTTGGCTTCCTTATGATTCAATTTTACAAGATATCAATATTAAGAAGTACAAGTATATTTTTATTCCCAGTTTTCGAACCTTTTCTTGAAATTTGACTTGGTGCATGTGGAGCCGCATGATATTTCACATTATTACAGGAGTAATATTCTATGAGAGGGAAATACAATATTTGCTTTCAGATTAAATTAGGCACAACAGACGCTGGGAGCAAATGCATTTTCTTTGATCAGTACAACGATTGGAATAGCCTTTATGAAATACAAGAGAGAATACAACAAAGAACAAAGAAAAGTGAAAACATAAATGCATTTAGGATATAAATGAAAGAGGTGGATCCAAGGACTGTCAGGATGGTCATGTTTAAAGTCAAGAATGGTGGAGTAAGAAGTTAAAGGTAGAAAGTTCATTGGACGGTAATGATATTCGGTGCATGAGTTGGTAATGGAAAAACAAGTGCATTTCTTTACATTTCCCCCTTGCTCATTTTTACTTTTTTCATTTTCCATTCTAATTAGGTAGAGGTATCTGTAGAAACTACATTGTTACTGAGTTTTCTTTTTCCAATTTATCTTCTATTGGTAATTAATTTGTGTCTGTTTTAGTCTCCATCCAAGGTTATTGTGACTTTCACAATTATGGGTGATCTGGTTGATTTAACTGGTGATGGAGGTGTAATCAAGACAATTGTAAGGAGAGCCAAAGCTGATGCAGTTGCCCCAACAGAGAACCTTCCACTTGTTGATGGTGTGTTCATATTTTTCTCCACTCCTGGTTTAGGTGTATTGGGACACTTTGGTTTTACATTGTATTGAATGTTCATGTTGGGTTGGGTGATCCATATATTGAGGTTCAAGGTCTTGATGTTTCCTCTTAGTAGGATCCTGCTTTTTTGATCATTTTAATTTAATAGAAAATTTCAGTAATTGATAAAAAAGAATAAGAATCTTTCAGCATTAATACCATGTTTAGTTTGGTGTTGAAAATTTTTCATGAGGTGATAGAGAAAACAAAAGTTAAATGTATATTTGCTTTACACATTGCATTTGATGGGTCCTAGCTTGTGGATGGGTCTTAACTCAATTCAATGTTGTGGTTCACTTGTTTTCTCAAACATCATAATATAATGGATAGGTTATACAGTTACAATCCTCATGGATGTGACCAGYGATATATTCTATGGAAGAAAGTGAATCTTCTTGAATAGATTTTATGAAGTTTGTAAGCCCCCAAGAAAAATGAAGTTTAATTGGTCTGGATATTGTATAACTTATTTTTCTTTGATCAGTAATGTTCCCATTTTTTTATCATGAACTAAAGAATGGTGAACAATATAGAGTGCCAGGTACTATTCTTTTCACCTTCCTTATTTTATGTATAGGCCACAGACCTGCAATATTTTGCTTGATCCACTCTACTATTTTTTGGAGTCTCCCTCCACCACTGTATTGTAGTTTAGAGATTTTCTGAATCTTAGACCATGTAGTACAACCATTAATTCTGCCATAGCAGAATCTCCATAGTCAATGGGACCTGAGAATAAGGCCACAATTTGACCATTGTGGTCTTTACACACCACCAACTTCAGAATTTCCTGGATTACCCAATCAGCAACTATCAGAATTTCCTGGATTACTAGTTAGCGTTGCTAAGGATGAAGAAGCTACCATCTGCCGGTTTCTAATAGTGCTACCAATAGAGAAAGGGTGGAAAGCATCTAGAGTTTTTACCCAATTAGTTGCCTGAACAGAAATGCTCTCAATAAGAGCATCTTTGTCTGGATTTTATCTTTGAAAATTCGGGCATTCCTCTCTTCCCATACCACCCACAAAACTGCTTCTCTGGTGCRTCTCCATGGTTCTGTCCCCTCTTCTTGTGTGAGAAGTCACTGTTAAAGAATCCTTTCGTGTCTGTTAAACAATCCTCTTCCTGTTTGTCCTTTGACTCTTATCCATGTAACCTGGTTCTCTTTATTTAGCAAATTATGGTCTATGGCAGATTATAAATCTTCAGTTGACTCACCAAAATAAAAAGAAAAAATAGGCGGGGGAAAATGTTAAAATATGCATTTCTACATCCTTTTTGGAGATTGACATGAAGAAATGTCAATCTTCACATCCAATTGTGCCAAAGCTGTTGTTTTTGCTTTGTTTGTTCCAAATAAGAACCACTCTTTTGGGAGCATGTATCTGGTAGTTGATTTTGTTGACTAAATCCTTTCATGATCATTTGATCTTTGAATTATCACTATATGCTTTATTGGGAGTATTCTTCCCTATTGGTATGTTTTTCTTTAGGCAATGGCCATTAGTAAACACCTTCCAATGTAAGTGCCATGGTGTTGGGAAATAGAAGGAACAATYTTTTAGCTTGTCAACATGGTCCAACTCTCTTGCTTAAACTTTCTGACTTTACCACATGGCATCATGTTAGATGAATTAAATGACATGGGCATATATCATGGTAATTGATGAAGGAAGATTTGGCCCGACCTCGTAACCACTCAACACATGGCAAAGGCAAAAGCTCGGCACAACAGCT